CTCTATGACCTATGTTGTATCCATCCATCCATTCATCCATCCGCTAAAGAAGGTATCTGTGTCTTTGTCCATTCACTCATTTACTCATTCATTCTTTCAACCAATGGCCTATTTATTTGATATTTCCCAAGTGCCTATTCTGCTCTGGGAATGTCCTAACCATGGTGAAGGGATGCAAAAATGACTGAGAAATGGTCTCTACATGCTTCCAACCAAAAGCAGAGCTGCAGGCCTTACTTTTCTAGAATTCTCTTTAGGTTGGTACAAAATCCATTGTTTTAGTCCATTGAGAACGTGGTGTCATTCCATTACTGCCTGACCTAGTAGTACTGGCTCATCCAATCTTACATTTCTATTTCCACTTCCATAATTTATTCCTATTTTTAAAAACGAGAATAGCTATTCTCTGTCCACATGCTCCATTCATTGTTACCCCTGGGTTTCATACCCAGAGTGAGCCCTTACTGTGTACCATAGGAGGCCATACCTTTCTTCTAGTCTTGCTTCCTCTATTTCTACCCAGAGGGAAGTTTTAAGGACTGACTTGGCATGGCATGTAGGCTTGTTCCCTGTCTTGGTCTTGTGGCGTTTTCTCTTGAAAATCCTCTCCATAGTATGGTGCCTATGGTCTTTCTAAGCCCATGCTAACAGCCCACACTGGCCCTGCTTGAACTTCTATTGTCACTCTACTATTGGTTGCAGCAGATCTTGTGTAACTCACAAGGACTCACAATCTGTCTGGATATCAGAAGTTCTAGGTAGCTGAACACTGACAACTTAGGTAAAGTTTTGGTTTTAAAATCAAGGTGCAGGGCTGGTGAGATGACTCAGTGGGTGAAGGCGCTTGCTGCCTAGCCTAATGAGCTGAATTTCAATCACTGGGTCCCACATGGTAGGAGAGAACTGACTCCTGTAAGCTGTCCATTGACTTCCACATATGGCATGCATATGCCCACAGACAGAGACAGACAGACAGACAGACAGACAGACAGACAGACACACACACACACACACACACACACACAGACAAAATGTAATAAAAATAAATAAATAGGGGGCTGGAGAGATGGCTCAGAGGTTAAGTGCACTGGTTGCTCTTTCAGAGGACCTGGATTTGGTTCCCTGCACCCACAGGGAAATTCTGTCTCAAAAAAAAGCCCAAAATAACTAAATAAAATCAAGGTGCACCTAGGCATGGTGGTGCATACCTATCAACTCAGAAACTGCGAAGTAGAGAAAGGAGGATCAGAAGTTCAAGGTCACCCTCAGCCACACGATAGTTCACGGCAAGTCTGAGCTACACAAAACCCTGTCTCAAAAATCCAAACTAACAAAAATCATAATAATCAAGGTACAAACTGGGTATGGTGGTACACACCTGTAGTCTTAACACTCCGGAGACTGAAGCAGGTAGATCACTTGAGCCCAGGAATTGGAGGCCAGCCTGAGCAACATAGCAAAACCCTGTCTTTAAAAAAAAATCCAAGGTCTAATGCTCATTACCAATGTAATAAGCCAGGTGGGGTGGTGCATGCTTGTAAGTCCAGCACTCAGGAGGCTGACATAGGACTGTGAGTTTGAGGCCAACCTGCAATACATAGCAAGTTTCTAGGTCAACTTGGGCTACATAGAGACACCCTGTCTCAAAAACACACATAAAAATTAAATGTAGCTGGCTTTTCATCTTCTCCCAGAGAATTTTAGAACTAGTATCTCTTTTCCACAGCCCAACACAAATATCACCATCAGCCTCTTTGATTTACCAAACCCTGTTGGTTCTTCAAAGGAGACATTTCCCTTGCCTAGCCCACTGAGATCTGTCCACTTCGGAGCATCTACTGATCAACTGATCAACATGTTGATAATCACACATGCCATGCAAGCTAACTTTTTTATTGTTTTCAGTGCTGGGAATCAAACCTAGGGTCCCATGCATGCTAGGTAAGCGGTCTTCCACTGAGCTATATTACCAGCCCTCAATTTAGCACTTTTTGTCACACATCCTATTTGCTGTTTGAGGTTTGTATTCCCAAATGTGTGGCTTCTCTATTGTGTGAGCTTTTATGCCCTTCTAATTTTGTTTTGTTGTGGTTGTGGCAGTGCTGTGGGTGGGACCCAGGGCCTTGTGTATGTTAAGCAAATACTCTACCATTGATCTATACCCACACCGCTGGTTTTGCTTTGTAAGTGAGGAAGCATTTAAACAATTTGATTGATGCATACAATTAGTTGGAAAAATAGTGGATGCCTACATGACAGGTGTGCCGCATAGCTTTAGTTGTCAACTTGACACGCCTGGATTGAGGGAGCCCAAATTGGGGAACTGTTTCTATTGGACTGGGCTGTGACTATGTCTGTGGGGCATCTTTTTGATTGATGAGTGATGTGGGAGAGCCCAGCCCACTGTGGGTGGGTGGTGTCACCCCAAGGCAGGTGGTCCTGTATTGTATAATTAAGCAGGTTGAGCATGGGCCAACAGAGCAAGCCAGTAAGCAGCTATCCTCCATGGTTTGTGCTCTAGGTTCCTGCCTTGGTTTCCCTTGATTATGGACTGTGCTTGTAAGCCAAATAAAACTTTTCCTCCCCAAGTTGGTTTTAGTCAGTGTTTTTATCACAGCAATTGAAGGCAAGCTAGAACAGAAATTGGTACCAGGATTGTGGGGTGTTGCTATGACATAGACCTGATTATGTTGTTTGGGGAAGGACTGGAGAAATATTTGGAACTTTGAGCTGGAAAAGCTCAGAGCTTAATGAGCTGTTGCTGTGGAGTTTGGAGCAGTTCTGCTGAAATAGGTGTAGACGATGGAGGCATAGCTTGTGATGCTTCAAAGGGAAGCAAAGACACTTATCAGGGCTGTTTGTGTTGAATTAAGAATTTTTGGAAGTGAAACCTTTTGTGCCTTACTGGGACAATTGATACTAGTTAGCTGGGGCAAAAAATCAGCTGTAACAAGAGACCAGTATCATCGAGGTAAATCTTCTGGGAAGTATTTCCTCAAGGTCAGCACACAGCAGCTGTGGTCTAGAAGGGGGGCCCAAGGTTCCATCTCAAGCTGGAAGCAGGACTTGGTAATCTGTAAGAGTATCTTATATGGTACTAGTTTTGAGTGCATGAGGGAGTCATGGAGAACAGCTGAGGCTTGGCACTGTGAGAGGCTAGGAACAGCCATTGGTAAAGGTGCAGCCTTAGTTTTTGTGAAGATCCATAGGACTGACAGGGTCATGGAGAGAATCTGAGGATTGGCATTGTGTGAGGCCAAAAGAGGCCATTGAAGGTGCAGCCTCAGTTGAGATGAGATCCTCACATACTGGAGATACCAGGCCCATGGGACAACCACCAGGGGCAGTGGCAAATGTGGATTGAGCCCACGAGACATGCTCTGTGTGCTGTGGAGAGTGCAGCCAGAGAAGTGAAGTTGCCCAAGTCCTTTGAAGTCCAGAAGATCATGAGTGAATTTCAGATGTCCAGCCTTCAGACATTTTGAGGAACTTTGGTTTTGCTTAAGTATGCCTGATTCTTACCTTTTGAAATAAGACAGTACTTGTTTTGGATTTTACAGGAACCCACAGTTAAGAGACTTTTAAAAGAGAATTTGAGCTTTTAGAGTGTTTGGATTTTTTAAGGACTATGGTATTTAAAGTTGTACTGTTTTATGTTGTAATATTAATAACATGAGATCTTAGGGCTTGTGGTTTAATGGTGATAAATGTATATCAAGTAGACAAGGTGGTCAATTGTGCTAGATAGCTTTAGTTGTCAACTTGACACACCTGGGATGAGGGAGTCTCAACTGAGGAAGTGCTTCCATTGGATTGGCATGTGGCCATGTCTGTGGGACATTTTGATTGTTGAGTAATGCAGGGAGGGCCCAGCCCACTGTGGGTGGTGCCACCCTGGGGCAGATGATCCTGTATTGCATAAGAATGCAGGTTGAGCATGGGCCAAGGGAGCAAGCCAGTAAGCAGTGTTCCTCCATCTCCTGCCTTCAGGTTCCTGTCTTGAGTTCCTACCTTGGGCTCCCTCAGTGACAAACTCTGACCCGGGAGATGTAAGCCAAATAACGCCTCCCCCCCCCAAGTTGGCATTGGTCAAAGTGTTTTGTCACAGCAATAGAGAAACTAACTAGAATAGGCTTGAGGAGGATGGGGAACTGTCTCAGATACTAAACCTCTGCCTATCAGGCCTTCAGAGTCTGGTCAATGAGACTTTTCTTCTTTTGATTCCTATTTCCTGTGCTCCTACCTCTGTAATGCCAGTCAGGAGGCCAGGCATTTGTAGCCAACATGCCTCAGGGCTGTTTTGGGAAAGGAGGAGTGCTGAGGTATGCCACTATACCTTGTTCTATGAACTAATGCTACCCCCAAGATTTTACTTATGACCATTTAGTTGCAAAAACAAAGAACTAAAACCTCTTTAGGGCATTAACTCTCAAACTATATCATGTATTGCTTAGGAATTCTCTAGAATGCTTCATGACACACAAGGTCCCTGGGGCTGCCTCCAAGTTTTGCTGATTCCTATGTCTGAGCTTCCAGGTGATATTGCACTGCTGTTCTAAAGGAATGTCTGATAGTTTCCCAGAATTCCCTGGGGGAAGCACTGGCAGGAGATGTTAGAGTAGTAAAGGGAAAGTAGAGAACATCTTCTGGAAGGCAAATTGACTGGCTCAAAAACTCATGTCCTTGTTGACTGCTGTTTGTTTGAACTGCTTCACCTTCATATCTGGAGTAAAGATTCACCAGTTAGGTCTCTGAAAACACTGAATCCTAAACACAAATGGAGCTTCAGTAAGAGCTGTTGGTCCAGGCCTTCCAAGTTCTGATAAGTCATGGAACCAGAAGGGAGCACTCCCCTTGGGGGAGGGCCCTAGATAATGCTACTACACTAGATGATGGAGTGATCCCATCATCTAATGTGGCTCCCACTATCCTAGTGAGCTGTGGAGAAAGAAATTGGCCAGCCTGTTCATTCGACCAAATGCACAAATCAGTGGAATTAGACACTGGTTTATAATATAAAGACAATTTTATTGCCAATAAAAGCCTTTAATAACTCGTTTTTTCCTGTTTCAGTAGGACCTTATTCTTTCTGATGAAAATCCAGTCATAGCATCTCTCATTAAAAATAAAATTATTTTGAAATAAATAAATATATAAAATAAATAGCATATACATTTCATAAATAGTTTGTCCTTATGCACAGTATTCATGCTTGCATTTTAATATCATTTTCTTACAACCTGGCCCACATCTCCCACTTCTGGTGTCAGGAAAACTGCATGTCAGGATAAATTTGAAATCTGCAGAGCCAAAGAAGGGATGGCTTGCAGCAGGGCTGGAGCCCCGCACATTTTCCAAATGACACTTTCTCAGAGCTCTATAGGTAGCATCTGTGGCAGATTCCTTGGTCTTTCATTTATACCCCTTCTCAAGGTATCTGGGTGGACTGTGAGGCAAGGCACCTTGACCCTTAGTGGGGCCCTCATTCTTTGTCATGCCGCCTCACGGAAAGAACATGAGTAAAGAAAAAAGTATATACAAGGTTCCCTCAGGCCCACCCCTCCCCCCACATCCCTCCCCAAAATAACCCAACCTTGATATACACTTTGAACAAGGGAACAGCTGGGTCAAGTTGAACAGTAAGTGCTTCTTTGTTATCTAAATTGATAGGAAAGAAGGATTGAAAAGCTATGAGTATAGTGCTTGCAGAGCCAACCGTGGCTGCAGAGTACATGGGTCACAGACATGGCACCAGAGGTTCATTACCTATAGCGGAACAGGTCTCTGGACATGGAGGGCAACTTAGAAGGATCTACTGGCCTGGGTAAAAAGTGAGTGAATTTCTGGTGTCGTTTAGTCCTGTATCCCTCCCGGGGTGAGCCGTCTTTATTCAGAGCCACATAATACTGTCTCTCCGAGTCCGAGTGTTTGTACAAGGTGGAAGCATAGGTGTTGTACCAGTTTTCTTCAAACTGTTCCCGGAAAACACATTCACGTGTGAGTTTCTTCTGTGAGGGTGAGAAAATAAAGCAGAGCCCATTATATGACTATTCCTCCCATCCCAGCTTGCTGGTAGAGAAGCCCTAAATAGCAACAGCACATTGCGATTAGAAAATTTCAGTCCTGTCTTTCCATATTATCAGGGCGTCTTTCTTCCAAGTATCACAAACCCCTCTCGAATGCATCTTCTTTCTTAAATTTCATGAGCCACACAAAAATGCTTTGGATGCGATCTTTCTTGAAGGGAGGAGATTTGTTGGCTCCAGCTGGATCTCTGAGCCCCAGAATTTCCATTGTGACCTTCCAATGCCATGCTGGGATCCACTTAGCCTGCTCCCTACTTAGGGCTAATAATGTTCAAATGCACTGAGAACACAGTCACCCACATCAACTGGCAGGCAAAAGCCATTGGTCTATATAAAGATGCATGGGAGGTGAGTTGTGATCTCTCCTAATGAGCAGCCTGTCAGCTGGAAAGCTCAGAAAAGCTCTCTTTAAAAAGTTCCTCCAATCTGGCTACTTCTAGCTGGCAGCTCCCGGGTCTCCTGCTCCTGGCCCCTTCTCCTACTCGATCAGCCACCATACTACTTGCTGGGGTGGCCGATACTGAGTGCTGGGGACAAGCCTATCTCTTAGGTGTCAGGGGAAAAATGTGTTCTGATTCCATGGGGTGTAGCCAGCCAGAAAGCAAGCTATGTGACTCAAAAGTCTGAGCCAGGATATTGGGATCTCCTGAAAGAGTTAAGGTCGGCAAAGTCACTCTCCATGTCCCAGTGCTGGGCTTGCTTCCAGAATGGAGAAAACGTATTGCAGCCAGCCCAGTCCTAGCTAGGGTCTTAGTGCTGTCACCAATCCTTAGAACTGTCATTCTTCATTTGTTGGTGTCATTTGGCCTTTGGGACGCAGCTGACGCAATCTGGAAATTGGGGGCTGTGCTATTAACCTTGGAATTCTGGCTTGGAAGGCTAGCTCTTCCACTGTATGGTTTTTTTGGTGTGTGTGTGTGGTTTTTTTTTTTGTGTGTGTGTGTGTGTGTATGTGTGTGCTGCGCTGGGCACCCATTAAAACTGAGGTGTGCCATGAAATACACAAAAAATTCAATAAAAAACTGAGGTGTGCTCTTGGAAACATGAATGCCCCAAACCCTGAGCACCTACTGACAAACCAGCCCCCCACTTCCTATTATCATTCTAGCTGGCCCTCTTATTGGAAAAAGTGAAAGCAAATGTATTACAGAAAATCTTATGCTTTGATGGATGGTTGAATGAGTGCAGATATTACAGAGTAAGGCCCTGAGCAGCCAGGAACAAGAAGATGCTAATCCTTTTTAGGCATAAAGGGGCTTTCAGGTGCTCGATAAACATTTTTATCCTTTGCCTTACATTGTCCAAACATTGGTGACAATAGCCCCTGATAAATAGAACAGCTGAAACTTACTGATCCATACAGCTCTCCTCTTTCATTCATCCCTAGGTACAGGCCAGAGTCCACTCCCCGGATGCTGATCAGCCCCACAGCCAGGCTGATAAACTCCAGAATTCCTAGGACAAAAAGGAGAAGCCGTTCTGTTACTAACATAGAGCTAAGAGAAAGCTGGTAGGGTGCCATGAGCTACAAGTCTTTTGCCCCTAACTAGAGGCTGGCCCTGGGAACCCATGGTGAACTGCCTGCCGAACTCCATCTTTTGCAGCAAGGATGAAACCTAGGAAAAGTGCTCATTCTCTCCAGGACTCAGTTTTTCCATGTATAAAATGGGGGAAACAATCCTTGCCTCTATTTAACGCTCTTAGGCATATGATTTTCTTCTTTATTTGGTGGTGCTGGGGATGGAATCCAGGGCCGTGAGCATACTAGGAAAGAGATGTACCACTAGGCTACATCCCCAGCCCCCTTAGGCAGGTTAGGAGGAAAAGACCATGTGAAGGCTTTGTTATAAATCCTCCATAATTATAAGGCGTCAGTGTAGTCAAGTACCACCCATTTGAAGAAATGGGAAGGCGGCCTTTCTCAATGCCAAGTCACCCCGCCACTCCTCCCCACCATCTGCCCTCGTTCTCTTGCTGTCCTCTCCGCTGAACTTGTTTTGCACCCTCTCAGTTCTCATGTCCTTAAAAGCCACATGAGGCTGTCAACTGCCTGGAGCTGGCTCTAACAAATGCCACACAGGGAATGCACTAAGTTTGTTCACCCAGTTTATGGCAGGAGGTAAAACTTGGCTCCATGAGCGATTTCTCCTAAAAAGCACTCTCAGCTTGTTCAGTCCCAAGCTGACAAGCCTGTCACTCTCCCCTTCTCTCTTGAGAATTTCAAGTTTAGCCACGGCAGAGTTGGCAGGTATTACTGGACTCCATACCAATTTGACATGTTGCAACTTTAAGGGGAAAGGGAAGAAATTCAGAAATGTCCTTTTAGCTGACAAGGTTAGAGGTGAAGATTTTTAAATGTTTTCATTTACTCTATGAGAAAAGGAAAAAAAATTTTCTGAAGAGGGTAAAAAGACACAGAATGAAATCATCATAGTAGTAAAGGCTTCATAATTTTATCCTAAAATAGCACATCTGTTATCTAGACATAGATGTTAATAGTCAACTAGATGCTTCTTTGATACTCCTGCCTCTAATCACATTTTCCAACACACACACACACACACACACACACACACACACACACAAATGTAATAAAGTAAAAGTCTTTAAAATTGAGACAGTATCTAGCTATGTAGCCCTGGCTTGTCTCGAACTCTGTAGTCCAGGCCACCCTTGAACTTGGGATCCTTCTGCCTCTACCTCCCAAGTGCTAAGGCAAAACTTGCAAGCACTATTCTGCAATCAGGTTGGAAACTCCAATGGGAAGTTTCCTTTGGAGCTCTAGTGACTTAGATGGTGGTAGGTGGCAGCTTTTGGGGTATGGCTCACTCACATCTATGTGAAGGATGTAAAGTTCTATAAGACACTTAGGGATTGGTCTTTTGCTTCTCACATTTAAATGCTCTGAGTCCTAGCCTCATTCTGATCGCTAGTAACTAGAAAATATAGTTCATTTGTTACTTTATGTGCATGAGTGTATTGCATGTGTGTAAGTGCACCTGTGTTATGCAGTTCCCCACAGATGTCAGAAGAAAGGAGTTGGATTCCCCTGGAACTGGAGTTATGGATGGTTGTTAGCCACCATGTGGGTGTTGGGAATTGAAACCGGGTCCTCTGCAAGAGCAGTCAGTGCTCTTAACTACTGAGCCATCTCTCCAGTCCTGGTAGTAACTTTTAAAAATTCAGTTTATTATTAGTAGTATGTACAAGTGTGTGCAGGTAGGCATATGCCATGGCAGGTGTATGAAGGTCAGAGGACAGCTTTCAGAAGCTGTTTCTCTCCTTCTATTGTGGGTTCCAGGGACTGAACTCCAGCTGTCAGGCTGTAGTACAGTGTAACCATTCTCAGGAAGACAGTGCCATGTGATGGTAGAAGGGAAAGGGACAGCTAATGGTGACAGAGGCTAATCAAGCACTCACCTAAGGGACCCCAGTTTTTACAGATTAATTTATTAAATATTTGATTGCATTGCACAAGGTTCTGCCCTGTTTAGCATTTTAATAAACAACTCATAAGAAGACACAGGAGGGCTGCCTCTCATAGCTCCTGAGGACACACAAGGGATGACATAATCAACACCCAAGAGGTGTCAAGAGGTTGAAAAATGGACTGGCCCAAGAGAATAAGCATAATTATAACCAAGTATAGAAAGTACTACACCTTGGTCCCCCAAACCAGTTTCACAAGATGTTTCTGTTTGGGGGTTTTGCTGAGGGAGGGGGGCCTCACATATATACAGTTAACAGTGCTCCTTAGTTCGAAGCCCCTTACTAGAGTTGTTCCATGAGAGGGCTTTTCAGTTATCTATCTCCCTCTTTGGATCCCCCTACCTTCTACTTCAAGGTTGAATTCAGAGATTTGTACTTGCTAGGTAAGCACTCTACCACTAAGCTATACAGGATATAGCTTTGTGTATTTTCTTGAGAGTATGCTTAGTAGTTTTGGTTTCTCTGCACTTTTTTGTTTGGCACTGGAGACTGAACCTAGTGCCTTGAGTATGTTGTATTTCAATTATATGCAAGTCTTCTCATCTCTGTAATGGGGAAATGTGGCCCAGTGAAACATACACAGTAATGGCTTCAGGGATTTCACTGAACAAAGTTAGCTCAATGTAATGGTGATTAGCAGGACTATTAAAAGCTAATGTAGGGCTGTTGAAATGATCCAGTAAGTAAAGGCACCCACCCTCAAACCTGATGACCTAAGTTTGATCCCTGGGACCTACATGGTAGGAGAGAACTGACTCTTACAAACTGTCCACGGACCACCACACATATGCCATAGCATGCACGCCCTCCCAAATACACACATAAATAAATACAATGTAATAATACATTTTCTTTAAAAAGCTAATACAGGGCTTGTAAGATATCTCAGTGGATAAAGTCAATTACTGCCAAGCTTGCTGACCTGAGTTCAAACCCTGGGACCTGCATGATGGAAGGTGAGAAGTAACTTCCAAAGGTTGTCCTCTGACCTGCACACAGACACTGGCACTTCTCTCCCCACCCCACACCTGAAGTAAGACATTTTTTTAAAGCTAATATAAAACTAGTTAAAAAAAAAGCTGGGCGTGGAGTGACACACACCTTTAATCCCAGCACTCAGGAGGCAGAAGTAGGCAGATGTTGGTCTACATAGTGAGTTCCAGGCCAGCTGGGGTTACACGGAGACCTTGTCTCCAAAAATAAGAAAAAAAACTGGTTAAAAAGAAATAAAGAATTATAGGAGAGTTTGAGGCAGGAAGATCAGTAGTTTAAGGCTAGCCTAGGCTATATAGGGAGAGTCCGTCTCAAAAACACAAAGCCAATGCAAAGTAAAACTAAAAATCACCAACTAAATTGACACATGCTTGTCACCTCAGGAATTAGGAGGCTGAGACAGGAGGATCCCAAGTTTGAGGCCAGCCTGGGCTACAAAGTGAAGCATTCTAAAAAAAAATTTAAATTTTTGTTTTTGAGATAGGGTTTCATGTAGTTCAGACTGGCCTTGAACTTACTGTGCAGTGAAGGATGACCTTGAACTCTGAATCCTCATGCTTCCACCTCCCAGCTTTTGGGATTACAGATGTATAACCTTAACGGTCTTTAAAAAATTAAAAAAGAACTTAAAAAGTAGTATAAATATAGAAAAGAGTATGTGGAGTTAGTATGGTCTAATGCTGCAGAGAGATTTAGTACCAGAATGGGGACCGCCCCATCGCTCTGCTCTGTGCTGGTAAGATCACACTAGGGGTACTGTGTCTGGTGCTACTGTGTGGAGAGAGTGTTGAAGACAAACAAGAGCATGCTCAAAGTAGAGTGCCCAGCTTGGCAAGGAGATCAGAAGGCAGGTCATGAGGTACTCTGGGTGCTTATCTCTGAGGGCCACAACCCCTGTGACTTCTTTGCTTTCCTGGGGCAGGTTACCATTTCCAAGCTTCCAATGGGGACCAATTCCCTCATTCTTTAAGTATCTCCTGTCTTGGACTACTCTGAGCTCATTAAGTAGCAGAGGGTAGCCTGTGATCTCACTGCCCAAGACCTGGTGTGAGAACAAATCATGAAACTCAAGAGGTGTGGCCATTTGAGTCACCACAGTTTTTCTTCAACTCTCAGTGAACCCCAATGCCAAAGGATAGATCATACAGGATGTTGCTTGGGTTGTGTCCAGTAACCGGGGTCTCCAACAGCTGGAATCATCCCTGCCCAGCTGTCTCTGGGCATCATTTGCCTTTGCCAACTTTCCTATTAGTTGGATTCAGACTGTGGGAACCCGGTGGCACATGATGATGGAACAGATATTTCTAAGCCTTCTCCTGAATCCCAGCCAGCATAAAAGGGGAGAAAAAACAAGGCATTTTCATATTTTCCCAGCTACAGCTGGACAGGGGTGTTAACAGCAAAGCGTTGAGGCAGAGTATTAAGCAGACAAAGTTTGTCTTCAGTTCCCTCACCCCTTTGAGGCCCAGGACCTCTGTCTCCTCTGCTTCAGCTTGACCTGCCTACCTCATGCTCTGGCATTTTCTTGACAATTTCCAGACTCTTCTTATACCTTTCTCTCCAGGGCCTCAATCAAAACGGATCTGTCCTGGGCCCCACTACTTGAGAACCTAGCTGGATGGCCTACTAATGTGTCATTTAATCTGGTTCCATGACTCGCTTGAGCTCCCTCAGCCATCCTGTCAGACTTTCAGGGCCAAGACAGTGCTGCCCTGGCCCCTTGCCAAATAAGAACTAGATGGCTCACAACTTAGAGCAGCTGCAGCAGCCTGCTCTGGCCCACCTGGCAGGAGGCCTCTCCTTCAGTCTGGCTCCCAATCCCTGCTCTGCCAGTCCACAGGTGCCCCTCAGGAATGTCAGGGTCCCTGTGAACCTCATGTAAATGCCACTAGTCAGGCGGGGACTGGGGCACTCCTGGCTACTGACTGCAAATGGAGAACAGGGAGCATGTGCAGTGCCAACAGGTTATTATTTGGAGTCGGGGCTGCACTTGGGCTCAGCCTGACTCCTTCAGAACACATGGATTCCAGGGTAATCCTTGGGGGCCCTGCTCTCCAATTACAACAAATAGCTATTTACTTTACATGGCCTTTGGAGACTCCCTCCTCCCCCCAAGCAGAAATCTATAATATTTTATATCTTAAGTCTGGCCTACTTTACCCTGCTGGAATGTTGACTGCTAAAGCACTTATGGAATGTTAAAGTTTCGATTTATTGAATACCCTGGCTGATTAACTCAAATGTGGAGGGCGGAGAGTGTGAGCAAACTCAACCACCACCTCGTCCTGTGCCAAAAGCTAAACGGAGTAAGAGTGTGTTTGAAAGTTGGCAAGGGAGGTTACAAAGAGACAGTTTTGACCAGTTATCATTTCTTTTACAGGAAATACATGGAACTGCCAGGAAATCAGGGAAGGAGGAAAGGGAAAAGGTGATTCGGAGGTGGTCTCAGGCAGTTTGTTTTTTCTAACAGGCCAAACCAAAGCTGAAGTGGCCAGTTCAGCAGCACAAACATCCCTTCCTCAGCCAACTTTACTTCCTTTGGTTTCTCCTTAAACTTAACACCCTTAGCAGGCCTGGAAGATGAAAAGAAATCAAGATGTGTCTTTAGGGAGGTAATTAAAGACCACTTATCCCAAGAGCCTATTACTGATTTATGTTGACCTTGTAGATTATTGGGCTCAACTCAGGTACAGACAGAGTCAGACAGTTGTGGCAGCTGGGAGCCCTGCGCACAGTTTCACCACTTTCATGCCCCCCCCACCACACATTTCGCCATCAGATCACGGCTTTTCTTTTATGCATACATATACACATGCAAACACATATGTTTCTTTTATATATGAACTATTCCAATATCTTTAGGCTATTTCTGGGAGCCTCTGAGCCCAGGCTGGGAGTCCCATTCCTTATGGAGAGGAACAAAAGGGGACCACAAAAATCACAAGTGATGGAAGGAAAAGGCGCCAAGTTAACACTCCCTGTCCTCCCACCCCAACTCATCACCCTTTTGAGGACCTGCTGCAAGTTTCTACAGACACCTGCACCCTTCCATTACCCCTCCCAACCTACTCTGCTCCAGCTCTGTTTGAGTGCATTTTTCCAAGATGACATAGACCTCATTAGGGTTCCTGCCTGCTCCCAGCAAGGAAGACCAACCCTGGTCCTAAGTTGTTTGCTAGCCTTGGCCTTAAGCTGGCCTCTGCAGCCACCCCTCCTCCCATTTTTTACTGAACACTCTAGAAGTAGTTCTAGCAAAGTATGTAGAACAGGAAGGTGGGAGACTTGGGGTGGGGGAGGGTGGGAAAAAAAGGAACCATGTGCTGCTTGAGGGTAGGCAGAGCTGACTTAGGCATAGAAGATGCCCTTCTGGCATTACAGGGACCTCGGGAGGAAGCAGAAGGCATTGAAGGAAGGGGAGCTGTCTTAGCACCTGTGTGGTGGCTTAGAGATTCGGAAATTGAAAATAAAAATGCTAAATCACTGAAAAGGGAACACATTTGCTTAGAAACCTAAAGATCTCCACCCCAGATCAAGGTTTTTATTAATTGTATAATTAGTTCTGTCTGTGACACAAGCAGCTGGGTCCTCTGAACAATCTGCATAGTGATGGGCAGGCAGAGGAAATGCTGCCTGGAGATTAGACATTTCCTGTCCTGGGCCCAGGAGACACCTGTTTCTGGGCTAGGAGTGGGCTCAGGAGTCTCTTCACCTGGGTTCCAAGGAGGTGGTTTTGAACAAAAATGCCCCAAGACTTGTGCCCTTAAGCAATGGGCACCGAGAGTTTTTTTCTAGATTCCCGGATACCCCGCGTGCTGCCTGGATTGGCTCCTGCCCTGGGCAGAGCCACCCCGAGGCCGACCAGTCCCACAGCTGCCGGGTCCCCACCAGATAAAGGTGGTTTGGGTGTGGACACACCAGGCGGGCTACTGCTCTGGGCAATCAACCGCGACGGGCCTGCTGCCCCCGGCCTCCTAGGCGGGGATACACACTCCCGGCCGGCTCCACCTGCTTCCGTTGAGGCCCTGCCCGATTCCCACCAAGAGCCCCTCGCTCCCAGGGGGAGGGAGGGTGGAGTGGGTGGCGAAAAGGCCGCACCGCAAGGCGCCTCCGCCCCCTCCCGGGAGCGTGTCCCGGCGTGGAGCCCCGGGTGACCGCGCCGCTCCGGGCCGCGCCACCGCGTCCCGCCTCGACGGGCCTGGACAGCCAGCGACCCGTTGGTGGCTCCGGAGGCCCGCGCACTGGAGCCCCGCGCCGTCAGTCGGCTCCCGGGTGCGCCGTCCACCCGCCGCCCGCACCTCCCGCTGCTCACCAAAGCGGCTGTGGTCGTGGCGGGTGCCGTGCACCGTGCCGTTGGGGAAGATCTCCAGGTGGAAGCCGGTGCGGCAGTAGAGCTGGCGGCGCCGCAGGATCCCCTTCAGGTGGGCGAAGTCTGTGGGCGAACCGCGCTGCAGCTTCCCCTCGATCTGGCCCAGGCGCTCGTTCAGGAAACCCGGGGAGTCAGCTAAGGGCACGTTCCCCAGAGACGAGGAGAAACCGTGCAGGTCCCAGTCCAAGGACGCGAAGACGGCCCCCACCTCCGCCATGGCGCGGCCGGAGGCGGCGCGGGCTGTTGCGGGGCGCGCGCGGGCCGAGACGGGGCCGCGGGGCGCGAACTGCCTCTCCCCGCGGCGGGCTGGGCGGGTCGGCGGCCTCCCTTCGCTTGCTTGCTCGCTCGCTTGTCGCTCCGCTCCGCGCTCGGCCCAGCTGCAGCACACGTCTGTTCGCGGCCAAGGAACTTCTCAGCGGCGGAGAGCGCGGGGTAGCGCGCTCCTGACCTTGCACTCAGTCAAAGTGCGGCTTCCCCTCCGCATCCATCTCCGCTGGCCTCTCATAGCTGGTTTCGTGGAGCTATCAAATGCAAACAGCACTTTATATACATACCCACTCCCCTTCCATTGACATATTGGATATTTAAATACAAGCCACACCTCACTGGCATCCCCTCAGAGATTGGTGTGTGGGTTTTTTCCCTTTTTTTTTTCCTCCTCGTATCCATTTGGCTCTTTTTGGGAGAGGAGGGGGGAGGGGTGAGCGAGCGAGCGAGCTTCACTCCCTCTTTTATTATGAAAAAAATGGCAGGAAAAAGCTACACATTGCAGTGAGGCATAACTGCTGTTGGCAGGTTTTCTGAAACTGCTGATGAAATAACGGAGCCCAGTGCGTGGAGGCCGTTCGCGCCTACAGCCACGAAGGCCTTTCCGTGGGGGTCTGCCTGTCAGTTTGCTGCACTGGGCCATCCCCACCTCCCACGCATCCTCCGGTTGCTTCCCTATGAAAAGTGCTGGAGACCGCGGCTGGGGGAGGGCCTCCTTGCACCGCTGAGCCCCAGTTCTCCCCGGGCTGGTATGAGTATGCAGAAAGGGCATCTGGCCCAGGATAGTGGAGCCCCGGTTCCTTTGTTCCGTGGCCCCCTTGTCCCACCTGTAGGTCAACAGGGGGCTGAGGAAGGCAAGATCCGGAAGCGAATGCAGTGGCAACATTAAGGACTGAGGAGTGGTGGCGGTCCCTGCAGACACTGAAGCGGGGGTGGGGGTGGGGGGTGGGGGTTAAGGGATCTGGGAGCGAGAGACCCCCCCCGGAGGAAAGAAGACATTTTTTTAAGGGACGTAGCAGCTCAGGCATAGGTGGGGTGCGGGTTGAGTAATAAATAGAAAGCGATCTTTTTGAAAAACGATCTTCATTGGCTTTCTGGGCGCACTTTTACAAGGCTCTCGAGAACAAGCTCGAAGAGGGGCTATTGGAAGCCTGGTGGGGGTTTTCCCCCACCTCGTTTCTTGTTGGAAACAGGTGTTTCCTCTATCTGTCCTGTGCCCTGATCCAAGATACTCTTATCAGGAAGAGCGGCAGCTGGGGCAGGAACTGGCGGCAGCCAGGACGACCGGCCCAAGTGGAGAGGACTTGGCGAGCAGGTGCCTGCCTGCCTGCCTTGAGCCCCTGCACCCCTGCCCCGCACCTGAACCCCAAGGTCCCTCTGGGGCTCTGGCGCTCGGCTTCCCTCTCGCCTATTAAACTGGGTTGTTGCTTGCAGTTTTCACACGCAGCAGGCGCTGGCTGCTTTCCCAGGTTCCCGCAGCGGCCGAAACACCCCACCCCACCCCTCCGCGCCTTTGCAGTGCCTCCTGCTGGAGACCCAGCCGTGCGGCAAGTTACAATTCAGGGTTACCATAAAGTGAGAAAACTCAGAGGCCCTGTTCTTAGACCCGGTGTGTGCATCCAGTGCTTACTCCCTGGAACCATAGCAATTCTTGGTTTGGAACAGCAACCGTGTCTTTAGCTCAGAGGGAACCTCCAGGGCCACACATAATGCCTGGCACTTGTAAGCGCTCGAAAGCAATGTTATGCTTCCAGTAGTAGAGAGCACAGAGGCAAGTCATCGTCCAGTTGTAGTGGACACAAATGCAAAAGGGTGGAGTCCATGTTAGAGTATGCATAGATGAAAGTATAAGCCGTCTTGGATTTAGTTTAACATCATCCCAAGTAAGAGCTGGGTATGCTGGTGCCCACCTGTAATGCCAGCGTTTGGGGCATTGAGAATCTGAAGCCAGCTTGAGCTGCAAAACACTGAACCTGCCTCAAAACAGAAAGAACAAGAAATTATCCAAAGTACTGGGCATAGTCGCTCACGATTTTAATCCCAACACTTGGGAGGTGGAGGCAGGAGGATCAGGACTTCAAAGCCAACCGGGGCTACATGAGACCCTGCCTGAACAACAACAACAAAAACAACAACAAAGGTGTATAGTGCTGTGTGGATTCATAAAGCAGAGAGAAAACTGATCTAGGTAGAGGCCATAGGTCCCTCCTAGGTTAAGGTGGCCTTTATAATGTCTGGGCCTTGAGGCAAAGATGGGAAGAATTTCTGAGATTCAGAAGGACCACTTCCAAAAAGATGAAAATTGTAACAAAGCAAATGGAACAAATTCTTAAAAATTGTTTTCATGATTTGAGACAGGGTCCCACTACATAATCCTGGCTGGCCTGGAGGTTGCTATATAGGCCAGACTGGCCTCAAACTCAGCAGAGATCCACCTGCCTCTGTCTCCAGGGTGCTGGGATTAAAGGTGTGCACTACCACACCTGTCTTAAAATAGAACAATTTTAATTGGTAAAGATTAATTCTTGCAGATTTTAGTGTGTGTCAAATGAAATAATGTAGATGAAGCAACTTTGAGAAGCACTCACTATAAAGGATTTAGATGTCTATGATAAGTCACATATTTTATGTTTTTGTATTTTTTGTCCCTCAGCATTCCCAAGGTCACCAACCACAGTTGGCACAGCTGCAGTTATACCTGAGTCAAGTTTAGACATTGAAGAATTCTATTGCGTGTCTGGGGCTCTTTTGAGATTAACCTGACTGATGCTTCTGTTTTAATTTTCTTATATTTTTATCTTCAATTTCTACATGTATGAGTGTTTTGCCTGCATGTATGTAAGTGTACCCCTGTGTACAATGCCTGTGAAGCCATCGGATCCCCTGGAACTGGAGTTACAAATGGCTATTAGCTTCTATGTGGGTGCTGGGACCCAGGACCTCTGTAAGAGTAGCCGGTGCTCTTAACTGATGAGCCATCTCTCTAGCTCTGATGCCTCTGTTTTAAGTACTGGTTATTTAAATTTTTAAAAATTATTATTGTGTGTATGTATGATACATGCCACGGTGCAGGTAATCAGGTAATGTGCTTGCCTCAAAAGCCTGAGTTGAATCCCCATAACCCACATAAAAGTGGAAGAAGAGAACTGACTCCACAAAGTTGTCTTCTGACTTCCACATGTATACTATGGCATTGTACGGCTCTTGGAAGACACACAACCCTCACCACTACGTCATCCTTCTTTCCCAATACCTTCTAAGGTTGAAGTAAACAAAACATCTGATGTGAAAAGGACATGAAAAACATGGGGGAAACCCTATAACCCTCAATATGCAGGAGGCTGAGATAGGAGAGTTACTATGGCTAACCTATGTTAGAAGCAAGTACCTGTCATAGATGAAGGAAGGAAAAGAAGACAGAAGAAAAAGAAAGAGAAAGAAAGACAGGCAAGTCTTTTTCTTGTAGTGCTGCAGATTGAACCTGGAGCCTTGTACATACTAGGCTACCACTGAGCTACATTCCTAACCCCAAATAATGTTCTGACTCCTACTGTAAGTGAGCTGGGAACAGGATTGGAGACAACCTGCCCAGCTCTGTTCCTGGTAGAAGGAGAAAGTGATGCTGATAAGACTGCTCTCACCAGCCCCCACCCTTCCTCCCAGGAAGTGCAAAAGCTTGTCTAGAAATGTTACTCTGTCCAGTACATTTCCCCAACAATTCATACATGTTTTCTCCTCTATAACTGAGTTTCCCTGAGAGGAGGCAGGAGAAGCTGTATTGCCAGGCAAATCCTGCAAGGGGGGAAAGACAGCCAAGGACATCAAGGGCTCCTATTTACAGAGCATGTGGTAACCATTACCCTGGGTGATTTGCATATATTATCTTCTGTACACCTTACCACAACTATAAGAAATAGTTTTATTTCCATTTTACATATACAGAAACAGATTCAAAGAGATACAACACTTTGTAGCTGAGATAGGACTTAAATCCAGGTATTTTTCTTCTGGGGAGTGCTGGGGTTTGAACCCAGGGACCTCCCACATGCTAGGCAAGAACTCTGCCATTGAGTTCCACTCCCAGTCAATTCAGTTAGTTGTGAATCCTGATTTTTTTCTTTTTGAGACAGGGTCTCCTGTAGCTGCAGCTGGCCTGGATTCACTATGAAGACCAGGCTGGCCTTGAATTCTGCCTGCCTCTGCCTCCTGAGTGCTGGGATTAAAGGTGTGCGCCACCATACTCAGCTTGAATCCTGATTTTAAGTCAGTACTTAATCAAAATACTAAACTACCTCAGCTTACTGAAGTGTTGCCCCTCTGCACGTTGTTCCTGCCTTGCTGTCCTGCCTTCCTGTTTTCTGAGGACAGCAGGAACTTGAAGTATTTGCACACTCCATCTCTAGTGTCAAATTGTCTAGCTTTGTAATCACAGCATCAAGCCATTTTAGGAGCTGTAAACTCATTTTCTCTTCTGTATGATATGATCAACAGGGGTTGCTGTGAAATTTAAATGAAGTAATATAGCATCTGTTTAAAACTGTGCCTGGATGGGGGCTGGAGAGATGGCTCAGCAGTTAAGAACACTGGTTGTTCTTGCAGAAGACCCGGGTTCAAATCACAGCACCCACATGGTAGCTAACAACTGTCTGTAACTCCAGTCCCAGGGGATCCCAGGGGATCCAACAGCCTCTTCTGACCTCCATGGGCATTGCATGTCACGGGTGCATGTACCTACATACAGGCAATACACGCATACACATAAACTAAAAATAATAAATAAAAATTTAAAAAAACTGTGCCTGGGGGCTGGAGAGATGGTTCAGTGGTTAAGAGCATTGACTGCTCTTGCAGAGGACCTGGGTTCAATTTCCAGCACCCACATGGCGGCTGTGAACCATCCTTAACTCCAGTTCCAGTGGAATCCGAAGCCCTCTTCTGACCTCCGCGGCACTGCACGACACGGGTG